TTGTGGAAAATAAGGTATTGTTGATTTTTGTGATAATTTGTAATATTTGAGCACTTGATATGCAGTCTGTGATAAGTTGTAATAATTGAGCATTTGATGTGCAATCTATGCTATGTTGTAATATTTGAATACTTGAGGTGTAGTTTATGAGATGTGATATTGGCACATTATATTGTGGTAGTTATGTTCGGGTGTTTGCACGAGGTTTCTGCCGTGCTATTATTACTATTGATTTATGCACATGCGGCGTGACAAGGCGGGCTATTTATATATATGTGTAGATTTACGCATGTGGCGAGACAAGGCGGGCATTTACTTTACTATTGCACACGTGGCGAGACAAGGGGCTATGTCGGGGATTGATTTGTGATGGCCTGGGGGCATTATTGTTGTTGCATATTTATTTTGGGACTACGAGGCGGTACCTCGGGAGATCCCCTGTTGAACACTTACTTCGGGACTATGTTTGCACTTGCCCTTGATTATTTTTTTTTCCGTAATTTGTAAATTTTTGTATTTTTTGTGATGTATTATTTGACTTAATATTAAGTGTTTTGTATTTCTTGATGTATTGTGTTGACCTTGACTTTTTTCGTACGAGACTTTGAGAATTTGTATATTATGGGTTGTACTTGTCTTTGATCATTGAGTTGTTTTAAATAAAAGAAAATTTCCAGTATGTTTAATTTAATAAATTTTATATCCAAATCAGTAGTTTACCTGATGCTTTATTTTAAAGGAAATGCCATTTTTCCTCTCTCAAACGATTTCTAAAATAAACTTATCCTTTTGTTGATTTCTTACTTGATTTAAATAATTTTAACCTTACTTTATTGAAAATAAATTGATCACGTGGATCTTATATACATTGAGGATATTGGCACGTGAGTTGTCCATGCAGTTGAGATATGAAATGAGGGCACGAGGTGCCGGAGAAATATGATGATTTAATTATGGGCACGAAATACCGCGGAGATATGAAAAATGGGCTGAGACCCGTGTTTATGAAAAATATGAAAAAGGACCGAGACCCGTATTTATGAAAAATATGAAAATAGGCTGAGACCCGTATTTTTTTATGATTTTGAAATGAGGTGTCACATGGTGATATTTTAATTGAAAGATATTTATTTGAGGAAATTTTACTTGAAAAGATTTATTGAAAGAATTATATTTGAAAGAGAATTATTTGGAAGAATTATATGTGAAAGACATTTATTTGAAGTACTTGATTTAATTGGGTGTAATTATAATTATTAATAGTTGAGCGATATTAGTGGTATTCTTGTTGTCTGCTGTGTATATCACTGGTTGTTTCATGTTGCTCTATTGTTATTTGTTTCCTATTATTTTGTATATTATATTGCACATGTTATTAGACTAGTGAGTTTCTTGACTGTACCTCGTCTCTACTCCATTGAGGTTAGTCTCGATACTTATTGGGCACCACTGTGGTGTGTTCACTCTACACTTCTGTATATTTTTGTGCAGAGCTAGGTATTGGAGATATCAGACTTGAGTAGAGTTAAAGCGCGATCGTAAAGGTTTAAGGTAGAGCTGCTTAGCCGTCGCAGTCCCTTGGAGTCTTTTCATTTTATTGTACTGTTAATTTGTAATCAAACAGTATTGTATATTCGCTCCTCGTGATCATTCCATGTATTCAGTTAGAGTTTGTGACTCAGTACTACTAGTCTTGGGAGGTTGTATATTCATATTTATTCGGCTGTTAGTTTTGGTTTACTTATAAAAAAAATGGCTTCAGAATGTAATAGAAATCGGCTTACCTAGTCTTAGAGACTAGGTGCCATCACGACGCCTGTGGTGAGATTTTGGGTCGTGACATCTTTGAGTTTCTTTACTTGTTCTTCCTAAAACACCAAATACTTCAATCTCCATTCTTCTTTGCCCACAAAAACTAAATGGCCAAAACATCTAAAACTGTTCCGCAGAAAGAGGCATCTTCCTCATCTCGGTGGGCCGGCGAGAAACTAGTGGTGGAGCCAAGCCCTGAAGAACTTATTCCCGGGGTGTGTGTCATAGATTTCGACTTTAAGATCGAGAAACCCTCATCGGTTCCTGGTCGATGCGAGCCGATATCGAGATATATATACTCGATACCCAAAAACCTCCTTGACCAGGTGAAGAAAGATTGCAACTGGGGAAACAAAAAGGCTGTGATACCGGCACCGGAAGAAGCGACACCACCCACGTGGAAGGGTTCCTGAGTGTTTACGCTTATCCTTTCACATTAGGTCCCCTCGATCCGATCATCGTAGACTTCTGCAAGAAATACCAGGTGACCCTCGGCCAAATTCACCCCTCTTTCTACAGAATCGTGATACTGCTCCGTTTCTTTGTGAGCAAAACTGACAGGCTTCCCTTCACCCTTGACCACCTTATAAGATTATATACCCCTCGACTCTAGCGAGGTGGGATGATAAAGTTTCAATGCCGGGCCACTAAGGCTCTTATCTTGAGTGTCACACCCCTTATTTTTACCTCGCTAACCCCTATTTAAAATAGATATAAAGTGAAAAGCTCAAAGGGTTTTCAATTTAAAAGTGACATAATTCGTGTTTCAAAGGATTTTCAGAGTCACCACCTGATATTTGGTTTTGGTGTGCCAGGTCACCATTTTGTTTTTAAAAAAAATAATTTTTCCTTTCAAAACACATTTAAACTCCAAAACTAGTTTGCACTAGAGACTCTAAGTAAGGGAGTTCATTTGACTCGGGGAGAAGGTGTTAGGCATTCCCCTAGTTCCGTAACTAGTACGGTTGCATACTTAATCTAATTCGCTTTTAAGAATATTCTAATTGAGGTAAAACACACAAACGTAAAATAAACACACAAAAGGCTCGAGGTTGTTCCCACTTAAATAAAAAAAAAAAAAAAAAGAAGAAGAAAATACTAAAAGTCTACACTGTGCTCATTCCATAATGTCCGTCACCGCCTCCAATTGCATTTACTACGGGGCATTCCCCGAAAAAAATATATACAAAATATGCGGGGCATTCCTCTGAATATAAACTAAAGGGAACGACCTCTTACCTCAAAACAAAATAAAAGAAAAAACCTAAAGTTTGCCTACCCAAGTGTAGCCAGCCTAAACATACTCCTAGCGGCCAGAATAATAAAATAAAATAAAAAAACTAAGTAAAAAGATTCATGGCAGGCTCGTTTTAACTTCTTTAGCGCCCCAAACCCCCTCAGACCCTTTCACACGAAGAAGCATATATACAATGGCAGATAGGAATGAAAACAAAGAAGAACAAAAAGAAACATTCCATCAAATAAGCACTCAAAAGAACCAAATGAAACAGGATGACACCGTAGTTTAATTTTAATTTAGCACGTTAGGACAATTAAATAGCACTGAAGCATTAAACAAGATAACAAAGAAATATTCAGCAAGAACAAGTCCTTGTTTAAACCAAAATCAACAAAAGGAATATGTATTTCAATGCATACGATCCAAATTTAACAAGAAAATTCAAATGAACTGTAGAAACACTTTTATCAAAATACAATAAAAATAACTCATTGAACCACTAAAGAGTAATTTCTATAAGTAGGAATGGCATGATGAAAATTTATTTTCATATTATCCAATCTACTGTTAATCTAGAAAGATACTCTAACCTTCAAGAACGAGAGATTGGCAGCAAACATGGCTCAAATAATAATAATAAAAAAATACTTCAAAACACTTGTTTACATGGAAGATTTAGGTAGCAGCTCATAGATCTTCAAATAATAAATAGATGATTTCATTCCTTTAAAAATCCAAGAAATTGCAGAGAAATCATTAAAGTCTTATTCACCTATTTAAGCTGAAAACTAAACATGATGTTTGTCAACTACAATACTTTTAGCACTCAACTATCAGATTTAACACAAAAGATATAAAGCTACAAGTTCAAACAAGTATTAACTCACTTCAAATGCTAAACAATTATCCAAAAGAAATTAAGGAAGAAACAGGCAGCCACAATCACGTAAACTAACAAATTAATAAACACTAGCTCTCACTATTGATTCAACTCATCTTTTAATTACTTTTGAAATTAAATAAATAGGGGATAAAGTAATGAACTTGTTGAAGCCAAACTTTTTCTTAATCAGAGTAAAAGAATCCGTGGATACAAAAATCGTTGATTACAAAATCTAAGCGAGAATCAGCATAAAAATTTAATTGAAATCACCAACATGAACCTTACGACCGGACCTCGAACTCACAAACGGTGACCTGAGTACCCCATCTTTGAAATTAAAAACCAAAAGAAAAGTTGAAATATATTTTTCATATATATTTTCGAAATTCGGATCCTACTCACTTAAAAACAGAAATCTTTTTTTTTTGGTATGATTTTTCTGGAATTCAAGAAGCAAAAATGAGAGAAGAGATTCAAGAGAAATGATATTTTCTTTTTTCATTAAACCCCTCATCCATCTCCCTCTTTTTTCCGAAATTTATGTATGAAAAATCTCTCTTCCCAAAATTCCCCTCTCCCCCTTAAAGTGTTGCCCCACTCAAACTCTCTTTCCCGAAAATCCTCCCTTCCCCTCAAAGTGTTGTCCCCATTCCCTCTTTCACTTCAATTATCAATTATCTTTTTATCTTTTTCTATTCTTTTTGCTTGGAGAGGAAGAATCTCTCTTAAACGTGTGGTTCCCCATAATCAAAATAAAATCAAAAAAAATTCTTTTGTTATGTGCTTGTGTGCATGTGTGGGGCCAAGTTAGTTGGGATAAGAATCCCAAAAAATGAGATTCAACGTTCCATTTTTGCTTCCTTTTTTTTCATTTTTTAATTCTTTTTTATTTTGTCTTTTTTCCATTTTATGAAAAGTAAGATAAACTACATAGCTAGATGAGATATAAGTAGCTAAAATAATGGAAAATATTTTTGTACTTTTCATTTTTAAGAGAAAATAAAGCAAAAAGGTCAAAACTAGTAAAAATAGCAAATTAGACCTAAAAAAAGTATCTAAGCACATACCTGAGAAAGACCACATACCTAATCCTGGCTGAGAGCATGCCATTTCCTGAGAAATCGAATATGAAACGTAAGTATGATTCTGTCTTTAATTTCTATTCGTTGTTTTTACTTCTTCATTCTTTCTTATCAGTATTTTTCTCGATGCAGCCGTTGCTTGGATATCGAGTGCAGTTCCCCACCTCAAGAACTGGGTTAGAAGCCTGGTTTCGATGTCAACACACGCCAAGCGCGCATGGCGCGATTTGTCAAAGGGTCGGTGGGAGGCTCGTACTCATGGTAAGCCTTTTTCCTGACTTACCGATTTGTTTATCGTTCAAACATCTTTTCAAACATGAGTTTACTTACTTTCTCCTTTTGTAGGTCTGGGAAAGGACACGACTATGAGATCCCCGTCCGGTGATGAAGAAGTTTCATCACCTATCTCAAAACCGGCAAAGGAGAATAAGAGGAAAAGGGCCTCGAACTCTGAGGGTCAAAAACCCAAGAAGAGAACAACCTGTAAACCCAAGGGGAACACAATCCCAGTGAATATGGAGTAAGTCCAAAGGCTAAGGGAAGAAAAAGAAGAAGAAAAAGAAGAGAAAGAAGATGATTCTGGGCTGGCGGCCCGTGCGCGAGCTAGCACCGAGATTCGGCGAACTCCGGAACTGGTGGGAGTTGATACTACTCCGTCTAGGCTTGATGAGGTCGAGGAGAAAACTTCGGCCCAAGTACCCAAGCCGAGATAAATTCATCGAAGATGCTTTATCTCAGGTCAAAGAGACCGTTGAAGATGTGGTGGATGCTGGTGCAGAAATCGGGCTCAGGCTCTCTAAGACGGAGGCGGCGCCCCAAAAGATCCACTTGGGGCAATAGAGATCGGGGATTCCCCCTCATTTTCTTTATTTTCTGAGTCGATGATATGCGATGCTCAGGCCGTGGAGACTTGTTATGGGGAAGGAGCCCACAAAGAGGAAGATCCTTTTCGTGATTATTTTATTAGGGTAGAAGGTGTCACCGGTCTGAGTGACTTAGAGGTTCCGGAGAAGAGTTCGGGCGAGGCTTTCTTGAGTTTTAAACTGACCAATCAGTTTTCGACCCCTAGTGCCGATCCCGGGTGCAAGCGAACAATCATTACCACGATCCCGGAGGATGCCCGAGTTCTTACTGCCCCCGTAGGGGTGGCTAGCTACCTCCGACGTTCGGTCACGGAAGAAGACCAAGCCCAAATGGACGAGGTGAAAGCATCTTGTCTTTTCAACGAAGCCCAACAGGCCCTGAACCGGGTAAGTTCATATTTTCTTTGTCATTTTTCATACTTGTACTTTTCTCCCCATGTATAATTCCTTCTTCCTATTTTTGTAGGATTCTGTGCTTCATCGCAAGGATTTCTTCCGATCCTGAGTGGAGCTGAGCCGGTACGAAGCCGAAAATCGAGGACTTACTAAGGAGAGAGATGCCTTCAAGCTTTTCAGTGAGCAGAGAGAAGGGGAAGCAAAAGGACTTCGGGATGAGCTAGAAGAAGCTCAAAAAGAACAAGCTGATCTGGCCGAGAAGGTAAAACAAATCTTTGAAGTTAACGATACTGACTCGGGCGTGGTGGCTAACAGTTTGGTCCCACAGGTCCAGCAAAAGCTCGATGTGATCGGACAACTTCGTGAGGAAGTGGACTAAGTGAAAGCAGAGACCGAGGCATGGAAGAAGAACATGGACCGCCTTGCCTCAGAAAAGGAAGTTGCCCGAGTTCAACTGGCCTCGACTGAGACCCAACTCTGAAGCTTGAAAGAGAAGGTCTTGGTGCAAGCCAAGAAAATTGAGGAGTTCCAGTCTCGGTTGGATTCAGCAACTTCCGATCGAGAGAGGCTGGCCACAGAACTTGCAGCGGCCAAATCGGAGGTCGAAATGACCAAGGTTAATGATGATGCAATGGTGGCCGTCTACCGGTCCGATGCTGAAGCTGCTCAGGTTCGAGCAAAGGAGGTTGCCGAAGCTGCTCAGGCTCGAGCAAACTGGGTTGCTGAACATGCTAAATGCCAGTCTCGAAGGGAGACTCTCAAGGAGATCCATGCTCGTGGCTTCGATCTTACAGCCGAGATCGAGAATGCTAAGGAGCTCGAAGCTGAAGCCAGAGTGTTGGCCTTTCCTGATGATGATGATTCTGGGAGTATGAGCGGATTTGAAAGCGGAGAAGGCCTCGAAAGCGAAGATGCTTCACCTGGAGAAGACTAAGTCTTTTAGGATTAGTATTTTTTGTGTTTCTTTTAAGACTGTTTCGGTCTTTTGTAGAGAAATTTGATCGGGCCATGTTGCCCTTGTAAATAATTTTTGACATATATATAAAAATTTTCTTCCTTTCTGCCTTATAAAATTATGAAGTTGTATTCTAAGGTCCGAGGTTTAGACAATTTGATTGAAACCGAACTAGTATAGCCCTTAGGCTTTACGATTGAGTGAGTGCTTGCTCGAACTCGAAATAAGGTAACCCTTAGGTTTTTTATTTGAGTGAGGATGGTCTCTCGAACTCAAAGCAAAAACAACCCTTAGGCTTTTGTATTATGCCGATATAGCCTTTGTAAAAAGATTGTTTATGGCTTTCTCCTCTTTTCGACTTGAAATTTTTTTTTATCATTTGTATTTGCAAAACTTGTAATGCCTTAGCATGCAATAAGGAACTGTTTGAGAGTTCGAATAATTTTTTACTCATTGGAATTTTCGAGGCTTGATATTATCGAAGCCTTTTATGATTTGGCGGGGTAGCCCTTTTAATCGGTTTATGAGGGAATTCGAATGCCTGTTTTGTTACGGAATTCGGACGTCTCCGAAACGTGTTAATTCGGTCATGGCCTTTTTAGTTCGGGATTTGCCTCTTGGCTAATAATTTGATTTTTTTTTAAAATAAAATTTATAAGAGAATATGTTTTTATTTAATATCAGTAAATCCAGATCAACTGTATCATTAAAAAAAAATTAATTTTCTTTTAAATTTCATTAAACAAAGGAATAAAAATGATTGTCGTATACATTTTGTTAAACTTATGTTTCTTCAGTGCATATTCTCATATTGTTTGTAAATCATCATGCTCAGCTCGGTATAGTATTGTGTTCAATTGTTTAAACAATTAAATTAGCTGAAGTTTTAACTTGCTTTCAGGAGTACCGGTGCGTTGATACATTTGTCCTAGCAAGCACTTGAAGCTTTGCAACTCTTTCATTAACCATGACCCTTTCCTTGTCTTAACTGAAACAATAATAATTATGCCTCAATCCATGACAAGTCTTCTCTTTGATTAAGAAATTGGTGCAATTCAAGGGGCCGGGCTTCAGGGCTGAAATGTTATTTTTGTTTGATTTCGCGGAGAAGGATAAAATTTCTTGTTTTAAACTCTATGCAAAACTGTTCCATTTAGTTTGCTTTATGTTTTGTGGATCAACTAATTGAAGATCTTCTTTGTTAAATAAATTTGACATCTAAGATGGATCTTTCATTCTTTTAAAAAAAAAGGGACAAGGAATATCCCGATGTATGACTTTGACAACTGCTGATAGCACTGAATAGCTATATATTAGCTTCATGGTCTTCATCTTAAATTCATACTTTGATTATTAAAGTTTCATTATTCTAAATTTGTATTTGTATTTTTGTTTATTTTTTGCTTCATGTTTAACTTTTTAATTAGAGTGGAGATAATATATATCACTATTGTGGGCTCACCTAGGGGTAAAATATGGATATGCATCTTTGAATTAAAAAAAGCAAGTATTGCACTTTCTTATTAATCATATTTCAATGTTGTTCTGCTCCGTTTCTCTCATAAAAGTAAAAAGGATTCAAGTAAAATAATTCTAGGTACGATAAGTAGTTGACACCCTCAAAGAACTCTCATGTGCTATAAATTGCAGACTATAATTTTATCTTCCCAACTTTGCACTCTAACTTGATTAAACTAAAAATTTACCTTAATTACTAAGATAAGTTTTAATATTGGAGAATTTGGACATGATATATTTTCCTCGGTATTAATTATGTGAAACATGAAATAAGACTCTCTAAACTACTAAAGAAACTATATCTTATTTTTGAAACTACAATCTTTAATTTAAGATTTTCTTTCACTTTAGATGTCAAGAACTTTATCTTAGCCTTTTTCTCCTAAAGTTATAAAATTTTCCAATGTTAGTTTTCCAATTTATATGCCTAGAGTTTGTCTTGGTGCCAATTGAAGAGGACATAGAAGGACCTCAATTCTCTCCCAAATTTTTTAGACATTTCTAACTGCTTATATTATGATTTAGCCTTAGTTGAAAAGGACATAATTGGAAGAAATGGTACGATCTTTTTGGTGTAGAAGTGAATTTTACATGTATACATGTTGATATCTAGGCCTCATTGCGGCTATTTTTTTTATTGCTTACTGTTTCTAAGATAGCAGTAGTGTTGGGAATGCATTAACTGATCATGTTCTACAAACAGCATCGGATTTCTCATATGACACTTAAAAACAAAATAGGATAGACTCTTTGTATAGAGAATGCAGCTGACACAATCTTAATTCTGTCATTTATATGGACATGTCAACTCTTACGTCTCTTGCCTAAAGTTGATGCACCATGGGTTTCCGCTAATATAATAGCTCTTGTCATTCAGTGAATGACCAAACCTCAACAATAAGTAGCAAAGAAACATAATTGCTTCTCATTTCTCATATTTGATAATGCACTGTCTAGATTGTTGCTTTTATGTGCTACATATAGGACCACTTCATTTGTTTTTAATAATTGCAAGGGTTTGATCAGTACATGCACTTCTTCCAGCAAATGTATGTACTGCAGTTGAAGTGTTACCGTTGCATTATTTAGATAAATCTTGTACCATCTCAATGTTTAAGAAAATTTTGGTATGAATTTGTGGTATGAAACTTAATATTTCTGTTAGTTTCTTTCTGAAAATAAATGAAAGTAGCTCTCTTACTTTTATTGTACTAAAGGGAAATGAAAATTCCAATTAGGGACAAGCTCATACTTCAAACTTTGACACGCAAAAGAGCAGCATATTAGAAAAATCTGTAGCTTCTTTTGCATTAGAGGAATATTAATGGTTTACTCTTCAAATGTGACTTACTGATCTGTAGTATTTATCATCATTCTTACTCAAATTTAATTCGGACTTACATAATTTCTATATTAGCTATTTTGATAAATTCTAACATAATTCTTCTTGTTAAGGCAGAATTGGAGATGGAGAGAACCCACTATGCGAAAAGCAATACACTTTACATGTCCGATGTCACGCTCACGTGCCTCCAGATTGTAATGGTTGGGCTTGTTGGTTGTGCTGCGTGAGCCTCCAGACACCTTCAAGCAAGCAAAGGTTTTCAGGGTAATTACCGCGCTTGAAAGAAACTAAAAAATGTTTGCTAAAATGATTGTACATACCTATTTAGTGAAGCTTTATCCTTTGTTTTTATTTTATGATGTAACTTCTTTTGATTCACGAGAGCAAATACAAAGGAGGAAACATTTTTTGGTAGTGCAAAGTTCTTGCAATACACTATATGCTTGTCAACTGGGATATGAAATTTTGTACGTATGTAGTGTAAACAATTACATACATTCTCGCAACACCTTTTTATTTTTTTCGATAGGTTATCGCAACACCACTTTGTTGGGTCCGTGCTTAGCACGGGCGTGCTTCATCTAGTTAGGAACATAATTGGTTTCTTCTGAATCAGCTTTCCTTCAATATGTGATTGTTTAGCCTGTGTAAGTAGCAAGTTATGTACTATTTATTTGCTCGAGCTTGATCTATGTTTGTTTGATATGTCAATTTTGACTACTGTGTTTGGCATTAAATGTCAAGCAGTAGCATTCAAATGTAAATCTAAAACTTTTGGTACGGTGATAAGTCAAGTCCGGTGAATTATAAACTACTACTACTTTAACTCAACTAAATATTGAGGGTCATTAGAATTATTTTCTTCTTTTCTATTTGTAATCTAATATGTAGTGTTTTATTGAATAGCTCAGCAGCTGCATAAACAAGATGGTGTGTACTATGAAAGAGGGATGCTCTCATGAACCAATTCTACTAGGAAGAACAAAAGTCTAAAATAAGAAAATCACATATACCAGCTAGCCACGTATTAAGTCTTAACCCATGGTTGAAGAATGAGCCAATCTATAGGGACCTCTGTAGGTTCATATTTTCTCAGGGAAATTCTTCCAGATCTTTGGATGTATGCACATTCACAGGACAAATCTCGTACTAATACATCTTCCTGGCATCAAGCTGTAATATTCAACCTGCGTGATGCTGGTTTCGTGAGAAAGGTGAGCCAAAAATGATTTTAAGTATTAAAAGATTAGAAACAGGGCCAAAATACTGATAATTTGCAGTCAGCACCACATCTGGGAAGGAATTGGTTTGAGGGCCCGAGATCTATGAATTTATACACCGTCCACAAGTTTCAAGACACAATATTGATGAAAATCGCATGAGAGACCTTGCATTCCTTGTTACATAGAATAAGTTATGACCTTTGGCCTTTGCTTTTACCCTTTCAATTTGACTTCAAAGTTTTACTCGAAAGAAAAGGAAAGAGAAAAAAGATCTCTTTAAAGTAGATTGTATATATCTTTCTAGCTTGAGAAGCATTCTCGCTGTATTGTATGTTGCCCTGTTCTTCGGCTTTCTGAGGTCATACTAATCTTCAGTCCTTTGACTGCATGTCACATTATTTCTGTAGATTCTTGTATTTCTCGCTGGATTTGCAATTTCTATGCTCGGACAACTTGCTGTCTTTCTTAATTTATTTATTTTAAATTTTTTGTAAGTCAAAACTTATTGATCTATATACTTATAATGATTCCAGTGTGCTTGTTGTTGTGTGTTTACCCGAAAAATCGAATAACGTTAAAGTTAGATATGATTCTAAGGGTATATAAATTTCTTTGATACAAAATGAGAATACAGGTATTTTTGCTATAAAATGGGAATGATGGACGGGAAGACTGAAATGAGTTAGAAAAACAAGCACAATGAAATCTTAATGTATCTTGGAGGACCCGCGTCTATTGCAGTCTATCCCCTTTTTATAGTAGAGGGTCACTGTTTTATCTATAACAATATAATAAAATAATACATATAGTGGAGAACCCATGATGGTTTGTCTTTTCCTTGATTCTCACCAAGATTCTCTCCCTCGGTGCGGTTGTAACGACTCTTGTCTGCG